CAAATAGCGCAATTAATATCAACTGGCCAGAATTAGCAGCTTTTGCATTTAGCAGCCATGTCTGAATATCAAGTAAAGCACATGCGTTGCAGCTTCCCTCCCCATTTACTATTCATTGAAATCCTTTCTGTGATTTGTTAATAAAATCTTTATTTTTGTTTCAATTGAGGCTTGGGTAACATTTATTGAGTTGTTTTTACTGTTTAAATGGAGGAAAAGAAAAAGAATGGACCTAAAAAAAAACAGTCCAGATAAAATCGTTGATTAGAGCGCAATATGCTGGTGAGGATTTTCAGTCATCCAGTCATTCCAAAAAAAGCAAAAAATGGACTTTGTTTCCAACATTGAAGATGTTTTGCTTCCTATCCAAGGAGCTTTTTCGATTCAAAATGTCAGAATTGGGGTTGAGTTTGAAGCTTTATAATCCAAAACAAAGCCTTGTTTTGGCTTAAATGGAACAGGTCCGCCCCTTAGGAATGGGAAGTCGTTTGGATTCTTTGTTAGCCTGCAATACGCGATACTGGTCTATGCCTGTAGAAACGGGGGTCGTTAGGGGCATTGTTGGCCTGGCTGACCAGCCAGGCGAGATGTTTTGTTCCCCTGCATGGGGGTGGGGGTTGACATGATGGAAAGGAACTCTGTAGGAGCTGCAGTGATTGGCTCCACAATGAGTACTGTATTTCTTGTGGAGAAATGGCAAAGTCCACAAGAAACACCCATTGTGAAGCTAATTTGGACAAAGAGGACAGGTTATTTGCAAGGGGTGTGAAGGAAGCTTTTTATGTTAAGAAAGATTGAAAAAACAACATTAAAAGAGGTGTGGACTCAGGTTTCAGCTCACAATAACCTATAACACAGCGATAGAGTTGATTCCTTCCCTCTATCATCTCAACCTCCACCCCCATGCAGGGAACCAAAACATCTTGCCTGGTCAGGCAGGCCAACAATGCTAACGACCCCCTTTCAGAGACACAGACCAGTTGCAGGCTATCAAATAACCCAAACAACTCACCATTGCTAAGGGGCCTGTTCTTTGTTCCATTTGCAAGTTTTCTAAGCCAAAACGAGGCTTTGTTTTGGACCATACTATAAATCTTCGAACTCAACGCTAATTCTGACATTTTGATTAGAAAAGGCTTTCTGAATGGGAAGCGAAACGTTTTAAATGTCAGGTTTCTGTTATGTTTTTCTTTTCAGTATTCAGTCTTGCTTTACTCCTTGTTTTATAGTCCTAGTAATTTAACATTTTGGTATTTCCAGTCTTCCAGGTTTCTCTTTTGTTGCTCTCTGCTGCCCTCTTGTGTTCTCCTTCTTCTCTAGCTCTTTCCCTCTTGTTCTGTGCACACCTGCTCCCAGTTTCCTCATTAGCCCCCTCTTGTCCCAGTCTCCTTTAAAAAGCCCTCTCTCTTCAGTTCCCCTTTGCTGGGTCCTCGTCAAACACCGTCAAACTTGCTCCAACTCCTTCTCTCTGTGCCTACCTCCTTATGATTGTGATTCCGCTGATGTCTCCATGGTTTCTGGTACGTTTAGACTTGTTTTTTTTTTTTTTTTTATTGTTTTTGATTTTTGGACTCCTGGTTTCATGTTTGCTTGGACTTTGTTTTCTTTTGGATTTTTTGATAACCTGCCTTTGTTTTCAGTATCCCTTTTTAATTAAATCAATGTAATTCACCTCTGCCTTCCTGCCTCTGCTTTGGGTCAACACTCAATAACCAAATCCTGACATTAAATCTTGAAAACAAAGTCCAATCAATGTTTTTTTTTTATATATTTTTTTACATTTTTGAAATCGGTGATTAGACCGATGTCATGTTAATGCCTTAAAAACCTGTTTGTTAGATCTCTAATTTAAATAGTCAGCGACTTCAAAAGGCATTTTTATTATGCTGGACTTTATTAAGAGGCATCAGAGTAAACGGGGCTGCATAAAGATGCTCTTCACACTATTTAGGTTTTCATTTTTTAAGCGGCATGCTTCTTTATGTTTGTTCTCATTGTATTGAGGTGTGATAAGATTTATTCATATTTCAAGATTTATGAATACTTTACAAAGCAACTAAATAAATTGTGAGGATCATTTCAACTATTTGATATTTGAGCTTTTGGTTTTATATTATACTTCTGTTTAAATACATTTAAATATCTTTTTTAGAATCCTGAAGGGCAGTTAAAAGTAAAATCAACAATTATATTTGATTTATCCTATAAATCAGAACGGATCATAGTTGGATACAAAAAAAAAAGCATTTAACTTCCTCTTTATCATTTTACTAAAGGGTTTGTGATTTCAACCTTTGGGTTTGCTGCCATCTGCTGGATGACAGGAAAATTACACCAATAGGGGAAAAAAAATTTGGTTTGACTTCAAATAGAACATCTAGGTTTTGAAATATTTCAAATACACTCATATAATCACAAAAGACAATCAATAACTTGGTGCTCAGGATAAATAAGAATGAGGCTTTGAAAGTCTGCACTGCTCTTGATTCTGAAAAACATTTAGTTACCAAACTAGATTTGCTGTAAGTTGTGAATTAGTTTGCCAAGTTTTTAAATCATCCCGTTAAATAAAAACTTGGATCTTTCTTCTGCTGTTTCTGCTTCTTAATGTGTGATTTTGTACGTTAAAGGCAGTTGTTGGCAAACCCTTCTATGATTGTCAGTTTTTCCCATAGCCAGCAGCACTTTTCCATTTGCTATTGTTAGTTTCTCTTTAATGACTGACTACTGGCACTGCACTGATTAGCAAAGGTTTTGTTATAGCTCTTTATGATCGCAGCATAAACTCTGAAACAAGCTGTATGACTTATTTGATGCCAATTAAATAATAATAAAAAGCAAAGGGCTATTTTAGCAGCAGGAAGTCAACTTTCAGGCCTAATAGTCGACAGAGCAGCCAAAGCAAAGTCACTTATTCCCTACATCTCTGTCTTTCGTCTCTATTTGCTATTAGA